CCATGTATATGCAGGTTTACTAAGATAACAAGTTGAACAGCTTGACAAGAATAAGCAGTGGTCATAGGGCGCTTGATGGTTCTGATTACTTGCCAGGAATGATACCTAATATGCTGCATAATATTGAATTATAATAAAGTATAGATATACTACCTATTCACAGCCTTCACTGAAAAATTTATTATTATATATGAAATATCCTTGGAAATCTTTAGGTTGGACTGAATAACATCCAGAAGACAGATTTCGTGAATGTCATAATTCAGTCTGTAATGAGGGTCACCCCCTTAAGAAATATTTTCATAATCCCTGAAAACTATCAACAGTCCAGATCTCCACTTGTCCATCGATTTGGTGAACTCACACGAAAGATTTGGCATGCTCGAAATTTTAAAGGACAGGTTTGATACTAGTTGCTGTTTTTCATGGAGTTTTTGTTGTTTAAAAGGATTCTAGTTGTTTAATATTTTACATGTTGACAGGTGAGTCCGCATGAGTTTCTGCAGGCAGTCATGAAGGCCAGTAAAAAGCGTTTTCGAATAGGTGCACAGTCTGACCCAGTCGAATTTATGTCATGGCTTCTTAACACATTACACGCGGATCTTAGAACTTCAAAGAAGAACAGCATAATCTACCAGTGTTTTCAGGTTCCTTTTACTATTCCGTCGGCTATTTTGATCTTGTTGTTTCTTGTTTCTGTTTGTGACTTAATTATGCTTACCGCACTTGCTGTGTTTGACAGGGTGAATTAGAGGTTGTGAAGGAGTATCAGAGGACAGCTATCACTGAGAAGAAAGAGAATGTTGATGATCAGAATGGAGTTAATGGAGCTGAACATAATAATGTTGCAATGGAAACTTCCAGAATGCCATTCTTGATGCTTGGTTTGGATTTGCCACCACCACCGCTTTTCAAAGATGTGATGGAGAAAAATATTATACCCCAGGTATGAGTTTACTTTTTTCTTTTGATTAGCTGAATTTAAAAGAGCTATCCTCTGTCTTCTTTTTTGATTGCCTCTGACTTGTGTTTGGATGCCTGTATTTTTAATAGTGTAAACTTTTGATATGTATTTATATAATTTAAGGGAATGAGAATGTAAAAGTAAATAGGGACTGAGGAGCGCAACCCATTTAGAAATGCTCTACAACTCTCTCAAAGAGATCAACAAGACCAACCCTGTTTTGGAGGCCCTTAGATAAAATAAAAGGTCTTGGGCCAATGATCCTGAATGAAGCAAAGGAGGATACAATATTTTCAAAAGCTTTATCTTTTTCCTCTCTTCCCCGGTAAACTAAAGGATAGACATGGATAAAGGCAGGAAATTCTTCTTGGACTTATTAGTTGGAATACCAGTCTAAGCCCACAATTCGTCCTTGACAAAGCCACTAACAACCCAGCAGAAATTAAGATTAAGATTTGAATTTCATAATCTTCTATGTTTGAGAACAAGAAAGAAGATAATTTGGGGATTTATTCTCTTGGTTGCACAATAAGCTTCTATGACCAGAATTATGCCCCTTTCCTTAAGGTTTTTGATGGTTAAGATGCTTTCTTAAGCTGCCTCCCAATCCGAAAAAAGAAAAAAGCAATTCTCAAGCAGATTTCAGCTTCCATACTTCCAAAGAAAGTGGTTCAAACTAGATTAGGAACCAACAAGTGGTTGTAGAAGGATCTAATATGGAGCTTTCCATCTTTAGACAGCTTGCATAGCAGGTCGCCATGAGTGTTTAGCTGGATTGGAGTGTGCTCCACCATATTAAGAAGAATGGCCCAATAACTGATCTCCCAATCATTGAGGTTTGAATTTGTAGCCATTGTACATATCAAAACTATCCCTAAACGTCGCGGCCTTATGACGGGCAATGGGGAAAAGAGAAAGAAGTCCTCTTTTGAAGGTTTACCACCATATTAATGATCATTCAGAAAGCTTATCTAACTTCCACTCGCTACTTTAAATCTCTTAAAAAGTATCATAATCAGCCTGTGTTTTCAGGCTTAAATGGTTATGCATCATTCTTCTCCTCTTGCAAATAACTTGACTCGACAAGTTATAATACAAATAAAGAGCTTGGGATTCAAGGTGCTTGCAATATGGCTTCGTCAATCCATACAACAGTATACTTGGGGCAACCTTTCCACTAAACAGGGTACTCATGGAAACTGGCGTTTGGAGGTCATAATAACA